TGCCCCACTAAGCCCCAGCCACCCACCATGGAGTCCTGTGCACTATAGGAGGTCCCAGGGAGAGGTGTCTAACCTGGGACTGAGCACTGCAAAACTGGGAACATGAGATCCCACAAGTGTGGGAATCTACAGTCACCCCCCCCCCAAAAAATCTAACTTGAAACCAGGTGTGAGAATTCATGGCACTTGGGAGGTTGAAGCAGGACTGCTGCAACTTTGAGGCCAGTCTAAACTTCCAAGGAAGTGCCGAAACCATCTTTAAAAAAAGTTCAAGCCGGACGTGGTGGCACACGCCTTTAGTCCCAGCACTCAGGAGGCAGAGGCAGGCAGATCTCTTTGAGTTCAAGGCCAGCCTGGTCCATATAGTGAGTTCCAGGACAGCTGGGGCTACAGGGAGACCCTGTGTCTCAAAACAAAAACAAAACAAAACAAAAAAAGACCAAAAACAAAAATTATTTTATGTAGCCGGGCATGGTGGCGCACGCCTTTAGTCCCAGCACTCAGGAGGCAGAGGCAGGCAGATCTCTTTGAGTTCAAGGCCAGCCTGGTCCATATAGTGAGTTCCAGGACAGCTGGGGCTACAGGGAGACCCTGTCTCAAAAAAGACAAAATAAAAAAAGCTCATTAGGGGGCTGGAGAGGTGGCTCAGTGGTTAAGAACACTGGGTGTTCTTGCAGAAGACCCAGGTTCGTATCCCAGCACCCACATGGGAGCTAACAACTGTCCATAACTCCAGTCACAGGGATCTGACAGCCTCTTCTGACCCCCCGAGGGCATTGCACAACAAAGGCGCACTTACCTACATGCATGCAATACACGCATACACATAAAATAAAAATAATAGATAGAAATTTAAAAAATAAAAATAAATTTAAAAAGTCCATTAAAGCTGGGCATGGTGGCACACGCCTATATTCCCAGCACTTGGGAGGCCAAGGCAGGTAGATCTCTGTGAGTTCAAGGCCAGCCTGGTCTACATAGTGAGTTCCAGGCCAGCTGGGGCTACAGGGAGATCAGACCCTGTTTCAAAAAAACACCCCCCCCCAAAAAAGTTCATTAAATAAATAAACACTTGTAATTTGAGCTGGGTATGGTGGTGCAGGCCAGTCTGGTCTACATATGTAGCAAGCTCCAGGCCAGCTGGGACAACAGGGAGACGTGTCTCAAAAAACCAAAATAATAAATAATAAAAAGTACTTGAATAAGGACAACACTTATGGGAAGAAACTGAGTTGGGGGTTCCCCACCAGTCCCCCAGTTTCCAGGCTCCTCCCTCCTGTGTTCTACCCATGAAGGACTCTAAACAGCTTGAATTCTCTTGAGAGACAAGCACCAAGCCAGTGTCTCAGCCTGCCCAACACAGGGAGGCTGCTGTCACAGTCCCAGTAGAGCAGGTCCTTGGCCCACACAGGCAGCTAAGGGACTGCTAGCCACCAAGTGAGTGAACACAGGATAACAGGGACATTCATCCTCAGGACAGCAGCAGAAAATACCTGTGAGTCACACGGGCACCCACGAGGCTCCTACTCATCAGAGGGGACATGTGGGTGGAGGCTGAGTCACCTACAGGAAGGCCACTCTCAAGTCTGTTCCCCGAGCCTATCTATCCGGCAAGCAGTTAGAAATAGCACCTGTGCCTTCCTTCCAGCATGGACCACTGCAGAGTGCTATAAGGTCACCAGGCTGCCCTACACTACTTTGTGGGGGCCATGTGCCTTCTTCCCCTCCCACCTGCCAGAAACTCAAACCTGGTCCCCAATCTGGGCATGTCTGAGCATGACAGACAGCCTTGCTCTAACAGGCCACCCACACCTGCCCAGACCACACTGGCAGCCCTCCCTCCAGGACCTCACTGAAGGACCCTCAAAGTGGGTGCTGTGGCTCCTGTAACCCACCTGCCTTGCTCCATGCCTTCTAGAACCTAGGAATGAAGGACACCATTCTGTCCTCAAAGACTCTAGGGACTGCAAGGGGATTCTATAGGTTTCTATGGGTTTTCTGCCAGACATGGCAGCACAAACCTGTCACCCTGGCACTCTGAGGGGAAGCAGAGGATAAGGGCCAGCCTGGGCTATGCAAATTCTCTATTTAGCCAAAGCTGGTCTTATGTTCCCAATCCTCCAGCTCTGCCTCCAGACTACTGGGACAGGGCTAGAGCCCCCAGAAGCAGGTCCCCTCCAAGGCACCCAGAGCTAGGGGGCACTGTGAGGCTATGTGCTAGTTGATGCCCACCTACTGGCCCTTGGATGAAAGCACGTGACAGTCACAGCAAGAAAGGGCCTGCAGATGACAGGAGTGGGCAGCAATAACCCTGCCACATGACATCCATGGCAGCACTGGTCACCACTCCCGCCATTCTCAACTGATGACCTGATTCACAGGAGGCAGGGACCTGACCACTGTCACTGGGTCACCTTTCATCTTAGTTCCTGGGAACAGGCCAGAGGCTGGCAGCACTACTCCACAGGGGCACAAACAGGGGCACCCACACAAGGGCACCCAAAAGGGACAGACACACACAGGGACAGATACACATAGGAACAGATACACACAGAGGCACCCACAAAGGGTCACCCATACAGGGCCACTGACACAAGGACAGTTACACAGGGACAGCCATATGGGGTACTAACACAGGGGCACCCACACAGGGTCACTGATACAAGGGCACCCACACAGGGACACCGACACGGAGCTGCAGTGGATTTTTGAGCCCTTCACACAATTTTGGGGCTGGGGACTAGCAATGGTCCACACAGACCCCGCAGCGGGGCCCCTAAGGTCCTCCCACAGTGACCACAGTGTGAATCAGGCAGGTGTGTGGCACCCATACACTCTAATCCTCTTGCAGCTGGGGCCAGATGTGGTGCAGCTCTGCCATCCCAGCATTCAAGAGGCAAAGGCAGCACAGCATTCAAGTGGCCAGCCTCAGCAACATAGCAAGACCAAAGGAAAAAGTGCAACAGCCCTGTGTCCCTCCAGATAATGAATAGGTCACCAAACTGGCCCATTCATTGCCCAAAGGCTGTCCCCAGGCGAAAACAAGAAGTGGGAGCAACCTGAACCCGCTGCCAGCATGTTGCACCCCAGTCACCATGTGCATAGTCAACACGCCAGAACCAAAGCCACATGCTGTAGAGTCAGTCATTCACTGGACTTTCTGGAAAAATCTGCCAGCATAAGACAGACTGGGGGACTGAGACACAGTGCAAGGGAGTGGGGATAAGGGTAGCTGGGAATGCTCTGCATCTCAACTATGACAGTGACAGTGGTCCTGACACCCAACACAGTGGTCACAACTCACAGAACTGTATCCTGGAAAGAACGACACCCCTTGACAAAGAGAAGATAGATGGAAATTCAACCAGAACCTCCTGTGCTATTAGGATGAGTATATAACAGGCTGGCAGGAGTGTCACTGTGAGATTGAGGCCAGCCTGGTCTACACAGTGAGTTTCAGGCCAGCTGGGGCTACAGGGAGCCCCTGACTCAAATAAACAAAAAATGAAACAAACAAACAAAAAAATCCCATGGACACAAGGCCGGACACCAGACACTGACCTCCTCAGCCCCAGACTTTCAGAACCCTGTACACATGCCTGTCATTTGCTAATAGCCACTAAGATTGGGGAATAATATCCCCAACTTTTTTTTTTTTTTTTTTTTTTTTTTTTTTTTTTTTTAGCTGTAGCCCCAGCTGGCCTGGAACTCACTATGTAGACCAGGCTGGCCTTGAACTCACAGAGATCCTGCCTCTGCCTCCCAAGTGCTGAGATTAAAGGTGCACCCACCATGCCTGGCAACATCCATCCCCACCTTTTAAGTGTCTCATCAGCCCTGCCAACCAAATAAGGAGACAGCCTCCCCAATTTCCAGCTATGTCACCAACAGAAGGGGACAACCTTCCCAACGTCTCAGGGTCCTTCCAGACATGCCACCAACATGAGGGGACAAATTCAACTTCCCATGGCTCCTTCAGAACTGTCTACCAACATGAAGGGACACGAGGGGACAACATGAGGGGATGTGAGAAACAACATGAGGGGACACCATGACGGGATGAAAGGGGACACCATGAGGGACATGAAGGGACAACATGAGGGGATGTAAGGGGACACCATGAAGGGACAGCAGGGGACATGAGGGGACAACATGAGGGGATAAGGGGGCAATATGAAGGGATGTAAGGGGACACTATGAAGGGACATGAAAGGACATAAGGGGACAACATGAGGGGACACATGAGTGGCAACATGAGGGGATACATGCGGGACAGCATGAGGGGACACAAGGGACAGCATGAGGAGACAACATGAGGGGACAAGATGAGGGGATGTAAGGGGGCACCATGAAGGGCCATGAAAGAACATGAGGAGACAACATGAGGGGCAACATGAGGGGACAACATGAGGGGACATGAGGGACAACATGAGGGGACAACGTGGGAACATGAGGGGATGAGGGGACAACATGAGGGGTCATGAGGGGATGAGGGGACAGCATGAAGGGACATGAGGGACAACATGAGAGGACACATGAGGAGACATGAGGGGCAACATGAGAGGACAACATGAGAAGACATGAGGGGGCAACATGAGGGAACATGAGGGGATGAGGGGACAACATGAGGGGACATGAGGGGATGAGGGGACAACATGAAAGGACATGAGGGGACATTAAGGACAACATGAGGGAACAACATGAGAGACAACATAAGGGGACATGAGGGGTTAACAAGAGGAACAACATGAAGGAACGTGAGGAGACGTGAGGGGACATGAGGCGACAGGAGCGATCTTCCCTCCCCGTCCCTCGGGCGGCCCCGCAGATCGCGCAAGCCTCAGGGTGGCGACGGCCGCGACACAGCGAAGCCGGCGACAGCGCGACAGGCCTCCCGCGGGCAACGGCGACACGGTGCGGGCCGGGAACGGCCGGGTCAACTGCCACCCCGGAACCCCGCGACCCCCGCGTCGCCGCCCTCGCCCCGCCGCGACACTTACGTAGACCGGCAGCGGCCAGGGGTAGACGGCGGGCTCGGCACCCACGGGCGACTTGAGCCTCAGCTCCAGCTTCTCGCCCATGTCGGCGCGTGCGGCCGCACCATGCTAGGCGGGCGGTTGGGGGAGGGGCGGGGCCGCGGCGGGAGGCCGGGCGGGCGGGAGGCTGGCGGACGAGGACCGAACGCCGACGACTGAGAGCCCGGCGTGCTCCTCGGCCGCCGCTCCCGGGCAGCCCCCGGTTCCCCTCTTTGTAGGAGTCACAGGCCCGGGGAGTATAGCGCCACCGCCATCTTGGGCCGGCGTGAGGAGAAGGCACAATGAGCCGGGGGTCGGGCGGAACCACTGTGCGCGCGCGCGCGGGGGAGGCCGGGTGCCAAGAGGCGGTGCACGCTCGAGCCTCCGCCCGCCTGACCGCGTGCACCACCCCTCAGACGCCACGCCCCCTTGGACTCGCCCGCCTCCAACGGACTGACGCATGCACGCCAGCCAAAGAGCTCTCTCGTCCTCGCTTGCCCTGTACTCCCCCGCCGGCCGGAAGCGGGGACCCGGGGAAACCCTTCCGACTTAAAAAAAAAAAAAAAAAAAATACCGAGACTGGAGTTCAAGTCCGACACTCACAGGTTCGCTTTTTTTTCTTTATTCGCTTGTGTCTTCTTTCTTCTTTTCCCTTTTTCTTTTTCATTTTTAAAATTTTCTTTTTTTTTCATTTTTGCTTTTTTCCATTTTTTTCTTTTTATTTTTCTTCTTTTTATTTTATTTTTTTGGTCTTTTTCAGACAGGGTCTCCCTGTAGCCCCAGCTGTTCTGGAACTCACTATGTAGACCATGTTGGCCTTGAACTCACAGACATCTGCCTGCCTCTACCTCCCAAGTGCTGGGATTAAAGGCGTGTGCTACCATGCCCAGCTTTTTTTCCTACTCTTTACACAGGCTCCCTTAACAAAGCTATATGTTTATGGCTGGTACCTATAATCTAAGCATGTGGGAAGTTGAGGCAAGATGATTGAGAGTTTGAGGCCTACATGGGCTACAAAATGAGACCATACCAGATTTTAAAAAAGGACTGGAGGGGCTGGAGAGATGGCTCAGCAGTTAAGAACACTGCTCTTGCAGAGAACTCAGGTTCAGTTCCCAGCACCCACATGATGGCTAAAAACTAACTCCAGTTACAGTGGGATATGATGCCTTCTGGCTTCTCTGTGTGTGTGTGTGTGTGTGTGTGTGTGTGTGTGTGTGTGTGTGAACACACATGCAGGCACAGGGGCATACACAAAGAAATAACAATACATCTTTAAAAAAAAAAAAAAAAACAGCCAGGCATGGTAGTGCATGCCTTTAATCATAGCACTTGGGAGACAGAGGCAGGCAGATCTTTGAGATCCTGGCCAGCCTGGTCTCCGTAACAAATTCTAGGCCAGCTGTGACTACAGGGAGACTCTATCTCAAAAAACCAAAAAATTTTTAATTTAATTTAATTTAAAAAATTTGTAAATAGAGCAAGCCAGGCATGGAGGCACACGGAGGGGAGGGGGGGCAGGGGGGCAGAAGCAGGCAGATTTTTGTTAGATCCAGGCAAGCCTGAGCTACATAGTGAGTTTTAGGCCAGCCAGGACTGCATAATGAGACTGAAAAAAAGAAAATTGAGTTTGAGCCACTCATCTCTGAAGCTTATTTAGAAAGGGACAAAACTAAATTGTTATCTGACCTTCCCAGAAATCCCCAAAGAAAGAGAAACAGAGAGAAGCCAAATTTCCCCCACCTTCCTGTTCCAATGTTTCTGATACTGAAATTCCCTTACCAGTAATCCTTCTAGAAGAAAGTTACCTCCCAGCAAGCCAATGCCAGCCCATCAGCTATTTCTGTGCAGTTCTTTCCATGGTTGAAGAAAGAAATCTGATCTAGGCACAGTGTTTCAGGTCCTCATTCCTGCAATTACTGGGCTAAAGGACAAGAAAATAAATTAGAAGCCAGCTTGTGCTGCCCAGTGGGTTCCAGGACTTCATGAGCAATTTAGAGATCCTGTCTCAGAATTAAAATGAAAGAGGGAGGAGCCAAGTGGTGGCACACCCTTTAATCCCAGAGGAAAGACAAGTGGATCTCTGAGAGATGGAGACCAGCTTGATCTACATAGAGAGTTCCAAGCCAGCTGGGGCTACAGGGAGACCCTGTTTAAAAAACTGGTCCACATCTTTAATCCCAGCCCATGAGAGGCAGAGAGGCAGGCAGGTCTCTTTAAGATTGTAGCCAGCAGTTAAGAGCACTGGCTACTCTTAGGTCCTGGGTTTGGTTCCCCGCACCCACATGGTGGCTAACAAGCACAGGTTACTCCAATTCCAGGGAATCCAAAGCCCTCTTTTGGCCTCTGTGGGCATTGCACACATGAGTGCACTTAACATACAAGCAAAACACTCATAAAAGAAAAATAAATAAAATTAGCCAGGTGTGGTGGCACAGGCCTTTGATCCCAGTACTGGGAGGAGGATCTCTGTGAGTTCAAGGCAAGCCTGGTCTACATACTGAGTCCCTGGCCAGCAGGGACTACAGGGAGACCCCTGTCCCAAAAAAGACATTTATTAAATTAAAATTAAATAAATTTATTGTTTTTTAATTATTTAAAGACAAATTTTTTTAATTTGTTTCTATTTTTATTTTATTTATTATTTTTATGTGTATGTGTGTATTGCCTGCATGTAGATAAGTGCACCCATGTCGTGCAATGCCCGCAGAAGTCGGAGATCCCCTGGGACTGGAGTTACGGACAGTTGTTAGCTGCCATGTGGGTGCTGGGATTTGAACCCGGGTCTTCTGCCAGAACAACCCGAGTTCTTAACCGTTGAGCCATCTCTCCAGCCCCATAAATAAATAAATTTTAAAAATTAAAAAGAAAAAGACAAGGTTCAGTTCAGTAATAGTGCAACGGGCAGAGACTGATGAAGCTGAGTGGGGCTTGATGGGACACCAGTGTGTTAGATTTTTTTTTTGGTCTTTTTGAGACAGGGTCTGTTAGGGTCTGTGACTCGGTGGGTCTCTTCTGGAGAACAAATGCACGAGTATGGAGATGCAAAAATCAAGCAGAGTTTTATTAAACAAGCTAGCTGGGGCCGACCGTCCTTCCAAGACACGCAGGTCTGGTTAGAGCGATCAACCCTGAGGCAATTTCAGGTAAAGATTATATAGGCTCCCACAAC